ATTCTACACAGTAAAAATAATTTTGTTTACTGTTAACTTTACAAAACTTTAAAAACTGATTGTTTTCTTTCCTTTAGCAAACTGTATAACAAGTCATAATAATTTGTTGTTTTCCATTTTAAACTTAGTGTCATGGAAACACTATTACTGCCCCTCTCTTTCTCTCTGTATAAAGTATAAATAGAGAATTAATGAGCTTATTTTTTAGTTCTTAGATATTTCTTGATATCATACAACTGATAATGAACATGTATAGCAAATTTATAGATAATCAAATTTCAATTTCCTGTTAGATTAGCATAGTCAATGATCATGAATATAATTCAATTTGACCGGTGCACGGCCAACTTTTTACTGCACGTTCAAGAACAAGATTTTTTAATACTTGTTTTTTAAAGTCGATGAACATTTATTACAAGGTGTGTCATTTATAAATGTAACACAAACAGGGTTGTGTTTACAAACATACCTTATTTATAAATGATTGATTTACCAATAAAAACACTTTTTGAAAAAGTTAACAAAGCTAGTTTTATTACTATAAAAACCAGTTTTTGTTACTAGAAACCTGGTTAAGCATTGAACTGGAAACGTGGTTAAACATTAAACTGGAAACCTGGTTATTTTTAAGCATTAAACTGGAAACCTGGTTATTTTTAAGCATTAAACTGGAAACCTGGTTATTTTTAAAAATTAAACTGGAAACCTGGTTATTTTTAAGAATTAAACTGGAAACCTGGTTACTTTTAAGCATTAAACTGGAAACCTGGTTATTTTTAAGCATTAAAACCTACAACTTTATCATTATATGTGGAAGTTTATTATAAAAAAACTTAGGTCATATATCTTATTTTATCTGTTATTGTGGTTTATTATCGATGTGATGTTTTTGTGATGTTTTGTATTTTTTAGTATTAAAACCTATAACTTCTCTTATATGTGGAAGTTTATTATAAAAAAGCAAAAGTCAAATAACTTATGTTATGTGTTATTGTGGTGTATTATTGATGTGATGTTTTTGTTGTTTTTGTATTTTTTTTGTTTTGTAATGTTTTGTAATGTTTTTGTATTTTTTAGTATTACTATTTATAGCATCTCTTATATTTGGAAATTTTTTATTAAAAAAAAATCAAATACCATAGGCTATGAGCTGTGGTTGAATGCTATTGATACAATGTTTTTGTTGTGATGTTTTGTGTTGATAGACAGCTTGGCTTACCTTCCCACTGGTATCTATTGTTAAAAATAATTATTACTTAGTTTCCTTACTGAAAATCACTGCTTCATATCATTCAACCACTAAAAGCCAAGACAAAATTTTTTGCTACAAATATAATTTGCTTATTTCTGTTTGCAAACAAAAATGATCTCATGTTTTAAATTTGAAAATTGTTTGTTTTTAATTGACTTTATATTGTAATTTACAATTATTTCAATAAATTTTTTCACTAATCTCTATGATAGGTTCTATTTTTTGGGGAAACTGTCTTTATAATGGAAACTGTAACATGTGATATATATTACACTGTTTATAACGGGAACTGTAACATGTGATGTTACACTGTTTATAACGGAAACTGTAACATGTGATATATATTACACTGTTTAAACAGAAACTGTAACATGTTTGAAATCATATATTACACTGCAATAGTCAATAGCAACATTTGTTTTATGACATTTTCTTTTTGGCTCATTGTCACTTTCTGAAAGTGCAACATCCTGATTATTTTGATTACACCGTGATTATTATTATCTGGTCTTTATTTTGTTTCTTTGGTTTCAGCTGCTGTTGATGCACAGTTGATGTTGTTCTTGTTGATGCAATAAGACACGTTTCTTAATCCAGCTAATCCTTGCTGGATCCAGCTGATCTTAATCCAGCTAACTGATCTTGCTGGATCCAGCTGATCTTTATCCAGCTAACTGATCTTGCTGGATCCAGCTGATCTTAATCCAGCTAACTGATCTTGCTGGATAAACTTTCTCAAGACTCATCTTATTCACTGGTCTTTATTGCAAAGCAAATTTTTAAATGTGATATCAAACAGCTTAACAAAGTTTACATCATCATTAAATTTTTTTAAATTCTTTAAATTACCTTTTTCTATTTTAAATTTTATTGTTGATTTAGAAAACATTTTCTATAACTCAGAAAGTTCAGAAATTTCACTCCTTCACTTTTACTTTTTGTTTCATTTGCTAGTGTTTTGAACCTATTTGTAACTATTTGCAGTACTGGCATTTTTTTGTAGAAATTTGTTAAACTACTTTTTCCACTTTTAACAGCATTCTCAAAACACCCTGCAAGTTTTTGTTCTATGCTTTTTCTCACTGAGAGCAGGACTAGCAAAATTACGCTACTAAAAAATGGAATTATGAATATTAAATATTATATTAAATTTTAAACTTTACTTAAAGTATAATAAAATTCATTTTTTAATAAACTTATTGGTAACATTTTTTGATGTTGACAAAATGATTTAAAAACAAATTAAAATTTTATAGATTTTAATTTTAAAAAACCTTTACTTTTGAGAAAAAAAACATTACAAGCATCAAATGAAAGTTGTTTTGATAGATTTAATAATGACTCAAACGAAAGTAGTTTTGATAGATTTAATTATGACAGAATCCAATCCAAAGTTTTTTATTCTCTACCCTAAATTTGTTTTAAAACTCAAAGAAGGTATTAGAGTGGAAAAATCCCACCATTAATAAACAAGTTAACTATGTAAAAATGCTGCATATATTTTTTTTTCTTTTTTTGTAATTTTATGACACTTGTTACAATTTTTAATTGCTTTTTTATTGTATTATTAATCAATTATATGGTCTCTAATTAAATTATTTTGTATCAATTAACTGAGGATGTTATTGTCAAAACGTGTATTTAAAATACTTATAATATTAGTATATTATGCTAACATTATAAGTATTTTATGCTAAAAGTTAACTTTAAAAATTAAATTTCTATTGCATGATTTAAAAATTTTTTTAAATCGTGCAACAGAAACCTTGTTAAAAAAAAAAGACATTTTCACTGTTACTTCCATATTTTTTAGTGCGTAGAAAAAAAGTTAATTGTTTATATGTGTTTTTGATATGTAAAATTTGAATTTCACATACTTGGAATTTTTCATTTTTTAAAAGGAATTCATTTTATTGTGTTTTGAATGTACATTAATAAAGTTTTTTATTCATTTGAGAAACACAATCTATAAAAATTTCTTATGCTTTTACATGCTTTTGGGTAAATTTACAGGTGTCTTTCCACTAACATAGAAGGGGTTACTTGTCACAAATTATACAGAGATGGTTGCCACTCTTGCATCGACTGCGTGGGTTATTTTTTCAAACCACATTCAAATTCCTGGTTTGTGCTATATAATGTCGTTCAAAAGTACATCACAAGCTGTAGAACAGGGTGTAACTCCGGGTGTAACAGGGTGTAACTCCCAAGAATTTTCTGAGTGGTTTTGCTGCAATGGGTATTTAACCATTAAATCCTGATATTTTTACTGGTGTTGATTATTGTCCTAATTATGTAACTGATCGCCTAAATCCATCTTCTTCACATGCTGATTCAAATAAAGAAAACTACCAACCTTATTCAGTTTAACTTAAACACAAAATAAAAAGGTTTAAAGAAATTATTCACATACTGGCTAACCAGCTAGACAGATGTATGAAATATCCAGTTGTATCAAATAAAATCTCTAATCATGACCCAATCACTCCATTGGTTTTTAAAAATTCAGTCATACCACCTGAAAATATTAGACCTTTTCATTAAGCAGGTCAAAGGTTAGTATCAAAAAAAGTAAGAAAAAAGTCTTTATAATTCTAATGGATTTAATGAAGCATGGCTTCAAAGCATGGCATCAAAGCATGGCTTCAAAGCATGGCTTACTAATGATAAAAGCAAGCAAACTAGTAAGACTAAAAATCCTATAATAGATGTGAATGCAAGTAAAAAAAAAACTGTAAAAGTAAAGTTATGCTAAAAAAAGTGTTTTAAACTTATTTAAAGACCAAGAATATTTATGTATCTACTGTCTTAAATCATTCAGATCAAGAGAACAGTGGATTTCAACTTTGCAAAAAATGGGCTCATGAAGAAAGCATACTAGGCAAACTGCAGTTTATTTTTGAAATCTGTTTTTCTTACAACATTGAAACACCATTTTTAAAAACACTTATTATATTTTAAGTTGTTTTGTACATTTTCTTTATGTATATTAAGATTATTCCAAGGTTAAAACTCTTACACGCCCCTGGTAGTACCACGCTCAACTTGTTTCTCTGTGCAGCAACAAGTTAAGACTTGTGTTTCGGAGTTGAAGTGTTGAGAGAGGGTTGTAACCACAATTAGTAGCCTCCTTGGCTATATAGTGCCCTTGGCCTTAGGAAGGTGAAAAAAAGGTTTTTAGAATAATCTGAAAAACTTTAGTCTTAGAACTACTTTAACAAAATGTTGTAAATTTGCATTAACTGGTTATAATCTAAACATACCAAGAAATGTGACAACCAACCCAACACTCTGTGACAACCAACCCTGTGGTTGGAGTTGATTGTCACACAGCAGTAGACTTTGAAAAATGATTTTACAATAAGATAAATTTATTTTAATGTCATGAAACTGTTGTATTAGTTACTGAAAATAGTTAAACCTTTGTGCATAGTTTGGCTTTGAATAATGAAAAATAAAATATAAGAAATCTAAAACGTAAAAAGTGTGACAACCAAGGCCGCACTTCCCTATAGGGAGAGCGGATTTATATATAAAGGGTTATATATATTTATATATAAAAAAATATCATAAAACATTGCTTCTTTTGAAATAAAAGTACTAATTAATTCAAACTAATCAAATTAATATTTAACAGTATTAATCAATCAAAATAACTTTTAAAACATTAATATTTTAGAAAGAATTATAAATTAAATAAAACATTAAAGTAACTTAAAACATTTGCAAGTGATAAAAAAAATCAAACCTTCCCAAATGCACAACTCCCTAACACTTTTATTGGTTTTAACTTAAAGTTATCAATATCACTAATAAACTCCACCATATTTAAATTATCTAAAGAAAAAATGAAAGAATACAGTGTTAATGAATTAAGTTTTCTAGAGTGTTTCTTTTTACTTTCAAATCTTTCCAAAATAAGACAAAGATTAATAAAAAAAAATATTAGAGAGGTTTAAATCATAATTATAAAATTATTTCAAAGAAAGAAATAAAAAATAAAATAGAAATAAAATGTCTTTAAATTGCTTTTTGTATTGAATATTGACCTCTACCTTTGGTAATACATTGTCAATTAACAAAAGTTCTGATTTTCTTAACAAATAATTTAAAAAGTAAGTTATAAAATATTCCATAGAATTTTCTTTTCATTTTTAAAAAATCTTAAAGTTCTGAAAACATATTGTGTTTAAAAAAACAAAAAAAAAAACAACCTCTTGTTTAACTTATTTACATTTAAATTTGTTAAATGTAAATAAGTTGTAAAATAAATATAAAACAAAAGTATAAGATGTTGATGAAGTACTAGGATGTTTCTAAGGTATTACTAGTATTAATTCCATAAAATACTCTGTTTGAACAGTTTTTTAAAGAATTTCTCAGCAATAATTTGACACCCATATTAAAGTTAAATTAAAAAGAAATTTTAAATCAATTTACAAAATTAAAACACGGTTAAAAAATAGATTTCTTTAAAAGATTAGATTTCTTTAAAAAATTAAAAAATTGATTACTTTAAAAAAAAATTATAATATAATAAAAAAAACAATTCAAAAAAATTTTAAATTTTTGTATTACCTATAACATCATTAGGTGCAATCGCAACTTGTTCATCGTCTTTTGACAAAGAATATTGATTTTTATAAAAAAAAAAAAAAAAAAAAATTAGTTTAACAATATTTCAAAAATAATTTAAAAATAATTCAAAAATGTTATATATTTTATAAAGAATTATTTTGAAGAGAAATTTAGAGGTAGCAACTAAAACTTACAGTTTCAAATTTATTATTATTATTATTTCTATTATAAATAAATACAATATCTAGGTATTTATGAGTTCTTACAAAAACCCGAGAAAGATTTCTTAGCCGTATCGACTTTGGGTGCAAAATTTGCAGCTTACGCAAGTTCCTAAAATTTTTAACAATAGTTCTGACTGAAAATAACGATCTAAGAGGATGATCAGACAATGTGGCAACTTTTTTTATTAATCTGAAGCAAATGCCTTTAAGACGTTTTGCAGGTTGATTGGAGCATGAGCGTTTGTTGCATAAAACAGAAGCGTTTTTTTCTTTGGTAGACAGTTTCATAAGTTGAGTGCGAGAGATATCACAGAACGCAGGCCAAGCGTAAGCCATATGCGAAAAAAACTAATGCAAGATATGTTTTCCATGTTAAATCATTAGAAATACCATATGATACCAGGCGATGAATAGCCGACATTCCGGCGCAAAATTTCTGATGAACAATTTTGAAGTGAGAGTCCTATTTAAGGTCATTTTGTAAAGTCACCCCAAGAAGTTTAATAGTGGACTGAGTTTCTAACTTACTGCCAGCGACAGTTATTGGCAACCCCTTGTCACCCTCTAAGGAAAAATTGATCAATTGAGTTTTTTCATTATTGACATGCATTTTTGCACATAGTTATTAACTTAGCAAATTATTTACTTCTTCCTGTGTGTTATCGATGTTATTACGGCCAACATAATGTAATAGCGTGGTGTCGTCCACATACAAGTTTAATAGACTTATTGAATTATCAAGTACCGACATTCCGTTAACTACCATAGCAAAAAGAAATGGACCTAGAACTGACCCCTGAGGAACTCCATTTGGTATATTGGTCGAAGGGATGGAGTCTCGAGAGACAGCAGAAACAATGACTTTTTGAGATTGATGACCAAAATAGGATTTAAGTTGTAACAGAGTCCGGTAAATTGAAATCATTTTTAGCTGTAAGAAGGACAACAAGATAAGAGATTTTATCAAATGCTTTTTTAAAATTGATACTAATACATCGAACATAACCACCTGAAGATATGAGTTTGTTTAAAGTCCAAAGAACCATCATTGTAAGAGCATTAGTTATGCCTTTATAAGTTCCCAGAATGAAAGCGAATTTAGACGGATTAAATTTTTTCTGAAGGGAAGGTATTAACCACTGTTTGATTGCAATCTTCTCTAAGATCTTTTCAGCGCTGCAAAGTAAGGCGATACTCACCGTTTTTGTTTTTAATTGGAACCACATGAGCTTTTTTCTATGCAAATGGAAACTTAAGTTGAGAAAAGCTACGATTGAAAATGAGCATTAAAGGGGGCAGCCAAAATATTGGCTGCCCCCTAAATAAATAAAATAAAAATATTTAAAATATTTAAAATAATTAAAGCTAAAATACTTAAAACCTACAAAGTTTATAAAATCAAAGAAACATGCGCATAAATGATTTTGAAAAATTCATTAACAACATTACAAAAAGTTTTAATAAACAAAGTTTAATAAAACGCAAAAATGAATTAAAAAAAAAAGGTATTTAAAATAGAAAGGAGGAACTATATATAGATGTTTAGTTTCAGCCAAGATATACATCAGATATACAAACCTATTAAACCAAACAATAAACCCATTATATGAGGTAATGAACATGATTATATGAGGTAATAAACATGATTATGTGAGGTAATAAACATGATTATATGAGGTAATAAACATGATTATATGAGGTAATAAACATTATTATATGAGGTAATAAACATGATTGTATGAGGTAATGAACATGATTATATGAGGTAATGAACATGATTCAAAACTATTAAGACTATAACTAAGAAAAATAAAAAAATATAAGAATATAAGAGTTAAAACAAATGGTAAGTAAATATATATGTTCATGAATACAAACAAATAATAGGGATGCAAAACAATTTTAAATTATAAGGAGCTAGGTTAAATCTATATATTCATATATAAAAAATAAATATATTTAGGTTCTAAACTGCAACAAGGGTCATTCCATATAAAATCATCCAAGCCATGCTATACTTAGGCCTCAAAATTATTATCATTAAATAAATAATAACTGCAAAAATGTTAGCTGAATATTGTTTTGTTGAGATATTTTCAGTTGAAACAATGCTGATTCAGCATTTTTATGGTTAGGAGACAACAAAGCAACCTTGGATCTCACATTTGGGGCAGGGGGAGCTAAACTTTTAGGTTTTTTAATCAACTAAAGAAAGTAAAAATCTGCACTCAAAAAACAAAAACACATCAACTTTAAAGTTAAATAAAATTTTTGCTTACAAGCAAATAACTTGCAGCAAAGTTCTGTTTAAAAAAAGATAAATCGATATATAAAAAAATAATAGTGCATATAGTTTTAATTCATAAAACAATTTACAATTTATATGTAGCAACTTATGCTTTTAACTAATTTTTGTTTTAAAAGTTACAAATCGGAAAAGAAAATTCATTTTCAAAAGGTTGTATAAACTTTAATTTAAAAGCTAATGACAAATATCATTTTATTAAAGCTTTATAAGTATGGAAAACAACAATTAACATTAAACCTATTAAACACTATTTTTTTTTAAATTTTGCCACACTTTGACCAACTGTGATATCAATTGTTTTGTTTTTTATTATTAATTTAAAATATATATTATAGTATAATGAGCCTTATTAAGTTATTTAATGTATACTTGCAGTTTGTGATCATTGTAGAACACTAATTCAGGAAGAAAATTAAGAAAAAGGCTAATGTTTTAAAAACTTTAAAACATTAAAAAAAGGTTTTAACATTTTAACAAAAATATATTAACATTTTAACATTTTAAATATTAAGTTAAAAAGTTATTTTTCTATTGTATTATAGTAATATCTTAATGATTTAATTCTTTTGTTCATCTTACTATGAAAAATGTTTTCAAATATTTTAAACTTTGCAAACTACAAAAAGCATGAAGTGAATATAAAAAAAAATCTTTTTTTTAATTATTAAATAACTACATTAGTTTTATTAACTACCATTAACATTATTTTATTCAGTTGAAATAAAACATCAATAAAATAAATTATTTACTTTTTGATAAAATGAAAAAAGTTCTTATTAAATGATCATTATTAGTAAGTTTGTTACTTAATATAAAAGGGTGTCTCTTTTTTTTTTATAAAAAATCATAAAAGAGCGAAACTTAGAAATTATTAATTTTAAATGTAATTTATTTTCATTTAGATATTTTATTTTGGAGTTTTTTTTCTGTCAAGAGTTTTTTCCTTTTTTTAGCTAAGTATTTTTTAATTGTATCTTTCTTGCATCCACATGGAATAGTTAAAATCTCTTTAAGCCAATGAGAAATGATAAGTGCTTAACTCCAGAGTTATTTGTATAATTTCCACACCCACAAAAATATCAGGTTGTACATACAACATATCTCATTTAGATTTAATAAATAAACAAAGAGTTGTTTAAAATGTTGTAGCAATTTTATTTAAATATTAATTGTAACTTAGTAATTGCTTTTCTTTTCTTTTTTTATCCAAATCTGGAGAGAGTTGAGGGAGAAGTTGCCTTTTCCTCTTTGGTGTGCCCATGCACATATATATATATTTTAATTAAATATATTTTAAACTAGTAATTAAACTAATTTTTAAATTTTAATTTAAAAAATAGTTTCAAAAAAATTTAAATAACAATAAATATTTCCTTCGCTACAAAATTTAAGTTACACAAAATTTTGAAAAGATGTTTTTTTTTTTTTCTATTTTAGCTCTAAAAATCAATAATTTATAAGTAAATAATTTTGAATAAAATTGGATAAGTCCTTAGAGTTGTATTTTTGAATTTCTCCAGCAAATATCTGTTTGGAGTTTGGGTCCCAAACTTTATGAAATTCTTCCAAACCATTATCAAGATATTATATGTCAAACTTAATTTGTTGTCTTTACAGATAACCATAAAAATGCTGAAT